TGCGAAGGGAGTAAAATTTAAAACTGTGTATTAAGGTGTAGTAGATAAGGATAATGTATTTAGAGGGGTAAACTATTGTACATTATGAAGAAAAGGCCCGTCCTTTTGAAAAGAGGAAGTATGCTAAAAGAAGAGGAAGTTTTGGTAGAATTTGAGATAATCAGAATAGTTCCTGGTGAGATAGCATGCGAAGAAAATTCTGCAGTATCAACGACCTAGAATCCTTCTTATACTAAAAGTCGATATGTTTACTTTATTAAAAGTCGCCTTGGACTTTAGAGGTTTTGTTTTTGTTTTTTGCTTTTTGCTTTTTCCCTCCCAAACCAGAAAGTATAGAGAAGTAGGGGACCAAGGGACCTCAGCTCAGTATTTTAAAATAATTAGGAAAGGTAAAGTAGACAGAAAGGCCGAGCACAAAGACTCAAGAACATGCGTTAAATTATTTCCTCTACCTGGATGCACACGCTTAGAATATTTCATTAAAGAAAAACCTAAGCCTTCTTTTCAGAAATGCAGTTTGTTTCCCTTTTGCATTTCTAATTCTGGAAAAGGTGGCAGCAGTGAATAAATACAACCCTCCTCCGGAAGTGGTCGCCACCCAGGATCACCTGACCCACGTTGTCAACAGCCTGATGCAGCCGCAGAGGATCTTTGACAGGTAGGTATTGATTAGGGATCCGCAGGGCCCGAGCACAGGACAGCGTTTTCCCCAGCCCTCTCTTTGATGAGCCATGCCTTTCTCGCCTCCTCTGAGGGAAGGGGCTCATCCTGCGTTGTCTCAGTTATAACCTGTTATCGTCACACTCCTGAATATAGACTCTCTCATTTTCCCAAGTATGACGAAGAGTGGATTCCTCCTCCCTCTTTCATCTGGCCCCTGTGACATTGGGCAGTGAAATAATAATGAAAAAATAAATAAATAAAAGTTTGTGAACTTATCTGCTGTAGGATAGAACCACAGACGATTATGATCATTTCTCTCCACTCTAAAATTTTCCTTGGCCGTGAGTAAATGCCAGATACCCCTTCAAAGAGCATCTCATCAGCGCAGATTGTTTGGGAGTCCCCGGAAGGCAGCCCCTCCAGGCCGCGGGAAGCCTGGAAGAGCCTGTCTCTTGGGGGCACTGAGCTGCACTCAGCCCTGCAGGGAGGAGTCGCTCAGCTTGGTTGAACACATGAGTAGTCTCTCACCTCTAAGTTCGAAGGCGGATCTACCAGGGTTTCTTCTTTCTTTTTAGACAATCTGTCAGAGCAGATGGCCATTTATGCTATAAGTATAACGCAGAAATTCTATCCATACCCAAAGGCGTTTGAAAAATACTTGTAAGATCTCTTGGTTATAAATAGCTTCTCTTCTTCATGTGATATTTGCTCCTGTACTTCACATGGTTGGTTTCCCACAGAGAGAAAAATGTTTTATTTTGCATCTAGGACATGATTTTTTACATGTAATTTAATAATACAGACATTGGCAGTTTTATATATTTATGGCAGCCCTCAGTGAAATGATTTGTCATTTATTTGCATACATCTGGAAAAGCACATTTGATTTTAAACAGGGGCATTTATGTCCTCGTTGTATTTCTTCTCTAGTTTATGAAGATTGCTAGTAGTTTTATGCTTAAGGGTACCTTTATATAAAAATATGTATCAAAGAAATTTACAGCAACATCTGATAAACACATATTTCGTGATCATTTCTGGCTGTTGAGCAGATAAGCACAAATGGCCAAAGCACCCTAATGCTCTGGGATGAGCAGTTTTCATTGTGAAAAACTCTCAGGCCAGAGCAAGGCCTGCCAAGCTAGGCCAGTACACAGCTCTCTGGCAGCCCCGAAAGAGGAACCCTGACTCTTGACCTTGGGACTCTTATGCTGTGTATTGGGGGAATCACTGTCCCCTTTCCTGCCATGATCAGGATGAGGGTACAATGTTAAAATGACACAGCAGGACCTTGGCTCTGGCCTGGTGATCACTGTTAGCTTCTTGCTCTCTGGTATGACAAGGTTCCCCAGGCCCATCTTGTACAAATCCTGTCCCAATTGTGAAATCAGCCATTTCTCCAAGAAGCCCTGGTTTGTTTTAGTGAGAAATGCTATTTCCCAGGCTCACTGTGGGTGCTAGAGATAAACATTGTTTCTAGGCCATTTAGTGGACAGAACTAGGAATATATTTCCCTTCCTTCCTTCCTTCCTATTTGCCTATTTTATATGTGTCAGTCATCTCATTTTAAAAATAGTGTACGATATTTATATTGTCAGAACATATATCCATCACGTACTACACATTCTCCTTTCTGTCATTTAGCTTTGTTCTATGGATAACTGCATACTTATTGCTCACTCCCAGCTCTCATATTGTCTCTTGAGCCTTCTCGAGAGATAGTTCGGAGATAGTATCTTCTGAACTCTTGCATGTTAATAATAGTTCCTGCTCTTTATATTGAAAGTCATTTTTGCCATAATGTATAAAGACTCACACTTTTTTTCCCTTAAATATATTAACGATGTTACTCTATTTCCTTTTGGTGCAAAACATTGCTGTCAAAAATCTGATGACAGTTGAATTTTCTTTTCCGTATAAGTCATGTGTTCTCTTTTTCCAGCTGAACATCTTTTTTTTTTCTTTTTCTTTGAAGTCTAGTAATTTTACTAGACCATGTCTTGCTATTAGTTATTCTGGGCCAATATTCTCAGGGGTGTTGTGTGCACTTTCACAATATATAGTTTTATTTTTTTATTTCAGGGAAGTTTTCTCGAATTACAGCCTTTAGTAGTTATTCTGTTCCTTTGATTGGGTTTTCTTTTTTGGGAAAAAGATCTCCTTTGTCTGTCTTCAGTATTTGTCACTTTCTCTCAAATTTTTCTTCTTTTTAATCACTAAAAAATTATTTCGAGATAATTTTCGATTCACACGTAGTTGTAAGAAATAATACAGAGAAACTCTGTGCATCTTTCGGTTTCCCCCAGTGGTGATGCCTCGTCATGGCTAAAGTAGCACATCAGAACCAGGAAACTTACACTGATGCATTTCTGCAACCTCATTCGGTTGCACCAGTTTGACATCGACTTGTGTGTGCATTTAGTTCTATGCAATTTAGTTCTACTCAGCAATAAAAAGGAGTGATTCTTTTAGTGATTAAAAAGAAGAAAACTTATTTCTTGGTATGGATGTACCACACTTAGTTTAACCATTCATCTGGACCGATGGCAGTTTTTGGCGATTAAAACACAACTGCTGTGAACATCCACGTACCGGCTTTGGTGCATGTACGGTTTCTCCAGCCTGCTCGCCAGTGGACGCCCTTGGCTGTTTGGGGTTTTCCTTGCTCTGAGATCTGTCAGATGCTGCCGCATCGCCGCCTCCTGCTTCCTCTTGCACAGATTCCAGCGTTGCTCTGAGATCTGTCAGATGCTGCCGCATCGCCTCCTCCTGCACAGATTCCAGTGCTGTGAAGACTGTGGGTTTGTGGATCATGGCGATACCTTTTCATTTAGTTATACAGGTTTTCCATGGGCTTTTGCACTTGAGCTTTTCTGTTTTTATGTGGGTATTCACGGAGATCAAAAATTATGCTGACACCACCCCCATTCTTTATAGAATCCACATCTCAGCCATGTATTTTTTTTTTTAATGTTCTATTTCATTCAATAATTTGTGTCATAAGTAGAATCCAACACTTGAACTGAGCATGTTGCCGGAGATTTTAGGAGCAAATTCATTCTTTAGTCTGACCTTTCAGGCCCAGAAGCCAGGCCTAGATTCATATATCAGCTCTTACGTATTAACTTAGTTTGAGCAAATTAATTAACCTCTCTGTATACTTCAGTCTCCGTGTGTTCAGTGAGGATAATGATAGAAATTTCTACATTAGCTTCCCATGATTATTAAATGAGGTAAAGCATGTGAGACTCCTAGAGCAGTACCTGGCACGTAGTAACTGCTCAGGTAAATTTTAGTCATCACCATTTTCTTTGCATATCGGTGTTGTAATTCAATGGATATAGATGTTAAAGGTTAACTCTCAAGGGCAGTCTTCTTTCGTTCTGAAGTTCTCGGGGGAGTACTTTGTCAACCAAGCATTACTGTTTCTTACCGTATACGTCCTTTTAAAAACGATGTTAAAGTAAACTTACATATATTCGGATTTTACGTGTCATCTATGCTTTGGATATTATTTTTGCATAGTATGATAATCAGCTTGCATCTGGAAGTAAGATCAGCCTTCTACACAGTGTCCACATATAGCAAGCGCTCGACTGCCGAATTAATTGTGGCAGTGACACAGACAGTCCCTCCCCCGAGCGTGGCTAACGCGCCGCGAGTCTGACGTCAGCGGGCCGAGTCTGACGTCAGCGGGCCGTCACTGACTCTGCCCTGTGTTGCAGCACCCTTCCGAGTCTGGACGCCCCTTACCCCGTGTTGGTATTGGCCGGTCCTCAAGCTTGTGGGAAACGAGAACTAGCCCACCGCCTCTGCAGACAGTTTAGCACTTACTTCAGATATGGGTAAGTTTATTATCGACTGGTAAGACTGTAAAAGATTGGATGTTATTAACTTCGGCTGTTAATTTTAAGCAGGTTCAAAATGAGCATCGAAGGCTTATTAGCTTCTTTGCCATTCATTGCACTGTGACATAGTGTATTTTTTATTTTTTTTATTTTTTTACTTTAAGCTCTAAATTTAACTTTAATTCAGCGACGGCTGAAATCGCTCTCCAAGGTTTGGAAATACATGTATTTGTAATTAAGAATAGTGGCGTTAGAACATGGGCTCGTCCTGCTGCCATGCGTCGTGACGGGAGAATCACAGCGTTGCGAGGTGTGATGGGCAGATCCGTGCGCCGGTGGCAGCTCCTCCTAGTCTCTGCGGGAACTCAACGCTGACAGCGTTTCGGCTTCTTTATCGCCACGCTAGCCTCCCTCTTTTGAGGCACATATCAGGAGGAAGAAAGGAGAAGGGGCAACAGGTGTCTTCCCTTTCCTTCCCCTCAGGTTAGCATTCAGTAGACTTTTAGTTTTCTGGAGCAAATATTCTGCCACGTGATTCCCTAATGACCCAGTTAAAATAGAGGAAATGCCCCCTCCCCATCCCCCTGCCAAAAAAAAAACTAAAACCATCTGGAAAAAAACCTTCAGTTGGATTTACAGAATCAGATTTAGAATGATTGCTGTGGTCCTTTAAACTGGC